TGTAGGTGTAGGTATAGGTATAGGTATAGGTAGATATCTATATATCTACATCTATCAATATAGCTATATCTATATCTACATATATCTATATAGTTGTAGATACATATCAGGAATTCACACTGATGGCTACAATTCAAGTCCAAACACTTTCACCTATTCCCAATTAGTATCTCCTTTCATTCACAGTGAAAACATTTGTTCCCAATGACATCAATATATTCACTAATTTTCTCTTTTCTACAATATGTACAAAATAGGTTCAATATTACTACATCAACATTATTAGCAATAATAAAACTAAAGTTCAGAATTTTTTGTAGGTTTTCTTATAGTTAGAAAAAAGTCATTAATGATTTATAGTCAGGATACTATGTTCAAAATTTACTTTTTCTGTATTATATCAAATTGATTATACAGTTAGGCTCATTTGTATCAAATTGTAGGATTATCTTTTTTCATTTTAATTTAATTTAATTACTAAATATGCAAACATTTATGTTGTTCAGAAGTTAAAACTGTATATTCTGAAGAGGCCCACATGGTTACCTTCTTATGTTTCCATTTTGCAATACACACACACACAAACACAAACACACACAATCTGTATCCATATAAAAATGTGTATATAGTCTAATTTCTCTTTCTTACACAGAAGATAGTATACCATGTACACTTAAGTGTTTTTTTAAAATAATTCTTTATTGTTGAAAGTATTACATATATCTCCTTTTTTTCTCCCAATGACCCCCTCCAGCCTGCCCTCGCCCCTGCTCCAGGACCTCACTGCCCCATTGTCTGTGTCCATGTGCCACGTATATATGCATACAAGGTCCTTGGTTGATTACTTCTAACCCACCCACCCTCCCTCACCTTCCCTCCGAGATTCTGCACACTGTTCCGTGCTTCGAGTCTCTGGATCCACTTGGTTCATCAGCTTATTTTGTTACTTAGATTCCACAGATGAGTGAGATCATGTGATGCCTGTCATTCTCTGACTGACTTATTTCACTTAGCATGATACTCTCCAGGTCCATCCATGCTGTCTCAAAGGGTAAGAGATTCTTCTTTTTTACTGCTGCATAGTATTCCATGGTTTAAATGTACCATAGCTTTTTTTATCCACTCATCTACTGATGGGCCCTGGGCTGTTTCCAGATCTTACCTGTTGTAAATTGTGCTGCTATGAACATAGGGGTGCATACATTCTTTCTGATTGGTATTTCAGGTTTCTTAGGATATATTCCTAGAAGTGGGGTCCCTGGGTCAAATGGCAGTTCCATTTTTAATTTTTTGAGGAAACTCCATATTGCTTTCCATAATGGCTGCACCACTCTGCATTCCCACTAGCATTATACTAGGGTTCCCTTTTCTCCACATCCTCACCAGAACTTGTCATTTGTTGATTTGTTGATGGTAGCCTTTCTGACAGGTGTAAGTTGATACCTCATTGTCATTTGCATCTCTCTGATGATCAGTGATTTTGAGCGTTTTTTCATATGTATCCTGGCCATCTGTAAGTCCTCTTTAGAGAAATGTCTACTTAGGTCCTTTGCCCATTGTTTAATTGGTTTGTTTATCTTCCTTTTGTTAAGTTGTATGAGTTCCTTATATATTTTGGACATTAACCCTTTATCAGATGTATCATTGCCAAATATGCTCTCCCATACAGAGGGCTCACTTTTCATTTTATTGATGGTTTCCTTTGCTATGCAGAAGCTTTTTATTTTTATGTAATCCCATTTGTTTATTTTCTCCTTAGTTTTCTTTGCCCTAGGAGATGTATCTGTAAATATATTCTATGAAAGCTGAGATTTTGCTGCCTATGGTTTCTTCTAGGTTTTTTATGGTTTCACAACTTACATTTAAGTCTTTTATCCATTTTGAGCTTATTCTTGTGTATGGTACAAGTTGGTGTTCTAATTGCATTTTTTGCATGTATCTGTTCAATTTTCCCATCACAATTTATTGAAGAGACTGTCTTGACTCCTTTGTCAAATATTAATTGAGCATAATGGCTTGGATCAATTTCTGGGGTCTCATTCTGTTTCATTGATCTGTATGCTTGTTCTTATGCCAGTTCAAAGGCTCTTTGATTATGGTGGCTTTGTAGTATAACTTGAAATCTGGTATTGTGGTTCCTCCAACTTTGTTCTTCTTTCTCAAGATTGCTGTGGCTATTCAGGATCTCTTTTGGTTCCATATAAAATTTTGAAGTAGTTGTTTTAGATCTGTGAAATATGCCATGGGTATTTAATAGAGATTTTATTGAATCTGTAGGTTTCCTTGGGTAGTATAGACATTTTAATGATGTTGATTCTACCAATCCATGAACATGGTATATTCTTCCACTTGTGTATACCTTCTTCTTTTTCTTTTTTCCATGGCCTGTAGTTTTCTGAATATAGGTCTTTTGCCTCCTTGGTTAAGTTTATTCCTAAGTATTTTAATTGTTTTTGTTGCAATGGCAAATGGGATTGTTTTCTTGGTTTCTTTTTCTGAGAGTTTATTATTATTGTGTAACAACAATTGATTTTTGGGTGTTTATTTTGTATCCTGCTACATTGCCAAATTCATTTATTAAATTTAGAAGTTTTTTGGTGGAGTCGTTAGGATTTTCTATGTACAATATCATGTCATCTGCAAATAATGAGAGTTTTACTTCCTCCTTTCCAATTTGGATGCCTTTTATTTCTTCTTCTTGTCTGATCACTGTGGCTAAGACTTCCAGTACTATGTTGAGTAAGAGTAGTGAAAGAGGACATCTCTGGCTTGTTCCCCTGTTCTTAAGGGAAATGGTTTTAGCCTTTGCCTATTGAGTATGATGTTTGCTGTAGGTTTGTCATATAAGCCTTTATCATGTTGAGATATGCTCCCCCTATTCCCACTTTGCTGAGAGTTTTTATCAAAAATGGGTGTTGGATTTTGTTGAATGCTTTTTCTGCATCTATTGATATGATCATGTGATTTTTGTCTCTCAATTTGCTTATGTGATCTATCACATTTATTGGTTTGCAAATATTGTACCATTCTTGCATCCCTGAAATAAATCCCACTTGGTCATGGGTATAATATTTTTAATATATTGCTTGATCCAATTTGCTAATATTTTGTTGAGGATTTTAGTATCTATGTTCCTCATGGATATTGGCCTGTAATTCTGTTGCTTTGTAGTGTCATTATCTGGTTTTGGAATTACTGTAATGCTGGCCTCATTAAAAAAAGAGCTTGGAAGTGTTCCTTCCTCTTGGATTTTTTAGGATACTTTGAGGAGTATAGGTGTTAGTTCTTCTTTGAATGTTTGGTAAAACTCCCCTGTGAAGCCATCTGGACCTGGGCTTTTGCTTGCCAGGTGTTTTTTATTACTGCTCCAATTTCCTCAGTTGTTATTGGCCTATTCAGGTTTTCTGATTCTTTCTGATTCAGTTTTGGGAGATTGTATTTTTCTAGGAATTTGCCCCATTTCATTGACATTGTCCATCTTGTTGGCATATAGTTGTTCATAGTATTTTCTTACAATCTTTTGTATTTCTGTGATGTCAGTGGTTACTTCTCCATTTTGTTTCTGATTTTATTTATTTGTGTCCTCTCAATTTTGTTTATCCTTTCAAAAACCAGCTCTTGGTTTAATTGATTTTTTTGTATTTTTTTTTTTGTCATCTCTGTTATTTATTTCTGCTCTAATCTTTATTATATCCTTCCTTCCACTTACTCTGGGCTTTTCTAGTTCTTTAAGTTGTAGGGTTAAATAGTTTATTGATTTTTTCCTGTTTTTTGAGGTAGGCCTGTAGTGCTATGAACTTCCCTCTGAGGACTGCTTTTGCTGTGTCCCAGAGATTTGGGGTTGTTGTGTGTTCATTTTCTTTTGTTTCCAGGAAGTTTTTATTTCTTTCTTGATCTCATTGGTAACCCATTCATTGTTTAATAACATGCTATTTAGCTTCCATGTGTTTGAATGTTTTGGGGTGTTTTTACTGTGGTTGATTTCTAATTTCATTCCACTGTGATCTGAGAAGATACTTGATATGATTTCAATCTTCTTGAACTTGTAGAGACTTGTTTTGTGTCCTAACATGTGATCTATTTTTGTGAATGATGCATGTGCACTTGAGAAGAATGTATATTCTGCAGCTTTGGAGTGAAATGTTCTATAAATGTCAATTAAATCCATCAGATTCAGTGTGTCCTTTAGAGTCACTGTTTCCATGTTAAGTTTTGTCTGGACGATCTATCCAAGGAAGTTAGCGGGTGTTAAAGTCCCCTACTATGATTATATTGTTGTCGATCTCTCCCTTAAAGTCCTCTAGAAGTTTTTTTTTTATATATATATTTAGGTGCTCCTATATTGGGTGCATACATGTTTACCAGGGTTATATCCTCTTGTTGGATCGATCCCTTTAGTATTACGTAGTGACCTTTGTTGTCTTTTTGATGGCCTTCATTTTGAAGTCTATTTTGTCGGATATGAGTATTGCTACTCCAGCTTTTTTTTTTCTTTTCTATTTGTATGGAAAATTTTTTCCATCTCTTCACTCTCATCCTGTGTATCTCTTTTGTCTGAGGTGGATCTCTTGTAGACAGAGGTGGGGTTTTTTTTGTTTGTTTGTTTTTTCCTGAATTAAGATGTATCCTGGAAATCACTTCATATTAATTTATAGGGTTCTCCTTCAATCTTTTTCTACTTGTTGGATTTTATTGAATCACATTTACTTTATATTATAGCTTGGGGAGAATTAAAACTCTTTTATGTTGAGTCATTTTTTCTAAAACTGAAGGGCGTCTTTTCACTTATTTAAATCTGTTTTTATGCCTTTCAAGTATATTTTAAAGCTTTCCTCTTATAGATTTTACACATTTTTTAAGTTAATGCTGAAATATTCTATACTTTTTTTGTTGTAAAGAAGTTTTTCTTCTATTTTGTCTTCTAACTGGTTATTGTTTATTTATATGAGACTATTGGTTTTTATTTATTTAATTTATTTTTTGTTGAGGGTGTTACAGATAAAAATATGAAATGCTTCATGAATATGCATGTCATACTTGCACAGGGGCCATGCTAATCTACTCTGCATCACTCCAATTTTAGTATGTATACTGCAAAGTAAGCACGAGACTATTGGTTTTTACATGTTAAAATTATATGCTGGTATACCACAGAATTTATATATGTGCTAATTTTATTATTGATTCATTCAGGTTTTCCAAGAATATTATCTCATAAATTGCAAATAAGAATAGTTTTATTTCTTTATTTCCCCTAATTCTCATGCCTCTACTCATTTTGTTGTGTCTGAATGCATGTCCAACATTCCCAGTTCAATATGAAATAATAGCGGAGATAGTGGGCATCCTTCTTAGGGCAGTTTTTGAGACACATAAATGTAGTGATGTTCCATTTTCCATACTAATACTAAGTGCAATCCGCTAGAGCAATAGGCAGTGTCCCCAGGCAGGAAACCTGCTTTATTTGTAATACTCCAAAAGATGAATTTCTATGGAGTTAAATTTAAGATCCAATTTTCTTTTAAGGTAGAAATCAAGGGAACTTATGATACTACCTCAAAGAAGCTTTATAGAAATTCTTTTGAATTACATGTGTCAAATTGCTATCTTCTCTCTGTGTTAATGAGGTGATCTAATAAAAGCCATAGAGGGCCTGGCAATAGGAATAGGATGTGCCTTTGTGAAAGCAAGTTGTTTTTTTCTTTTTTTAAATTTATCTTTATTGTTGAAAGTGTTATGGATGTCCCCTTTGCTTTTTTTTTCTTTCCATTGACCACCTCCAACTTGCACCCGCCCTTCCCAGGCCTTCACCACCCTACTGTGTGTGTCATGCATATCCTATATAAAAGGTAATATGCAAATTAACCCTAATGGCAGAACAACCAGAACGACTGCTGGACCAGTCACTGTGAGGTGCACTGACCACCTCTTGGTCCGTTTCCCCAGCTGGCAGGTTCCGATTGCCTGATGGCCACCCGCAATGGGGGCGGGGCTGGCTAGCAGGTGGTAACAGCTGACCTCTCGGTCCCTTACCCCAGCTGTCAGGCACCGATCACCCGATGGTGAACGGGGAACCGGGGGTGGGTGGCAGTGTGGGGCGGGGCCGGCTGCAGGCAGCTGGGGAAGATGGCTCTGATCACAGGCCAGGCCTAGGGACTGTACCCACGCATGAATTTTGTGCACTGGGCCTCTAGTATGCATATAAATTCCCCGGTTAATCTCTACTCCACCCCTCGACCCCCACCTCCCCTCTGAAATTCCTGAGGCTATTCCTTGCTTCTATGTCTCTGGATCTATTTGTGAGAGCAAGTCTTAAGGCAAAAGGCAGATTCCAATTACTGATAGGACAATGGAAATTAAATTAATCTGTTTTAATGATTTTAAACAGAGTATTTGATTTACTCTCTTTTTAAAAAAATGTTTTTTAATTGATTTTAGAGAGAGAGAGGAAGGGAGGGGGGAGAGAGAGAGAAACATCAATGATGAGAGAGAAACATTGATAAGCTCCCTCCTGTACACATCCTACTGGGGATTAAGCCCGAAACCTGGGCATGTGTCATGACTGGGAATCAAACCAGTGACCTTCTGGTGCACTGGACAACACTCAATCAACTGAGTCAAACCAGTATGTGATTGGAGATTATTTTTGTGTAGTAAAACTTGAAAAAAAATTTAGTCACAGGCCAGCAGAGAAAGTATCTCTTGTAATATGTCTGCCAAATGCATATGAATACCAAGACTATCATCTCAATTTTAGGTTGTTATCACATACGAGTGAACATAAATTAATAACATATTGGGAATATTTTAATCACAGGGACTCCAGTAGAAGTACTTAATAGATTCTCTGAAATTTTTAATAAGTAAGACTTAAGCCTTGGGAGTAGTTTGAAAAAAGAGTTATATTATAGCAAGGTAGCATAGTATGTAAAGTAGTAATCAAATTTACAGTAAAAATGCTTTTGCAGGTATTGATACTTCCACATCTAAAACTCAAATAGAAGTTTTTATGTTGTATCAACTCAAGGAAAACACTACCTTTAAAATATACTAGTGATGTTTTATTTCTGGTATAAAGAAAAATATTTTTTCTGGGCAATTGGTCAATAATGAACAAAAATGAATGAATGAATGAATTAATGAATCAGATATTGAAAAAGTGTTCTTGAATGGGAATTATTTTCATCAAAAATTTCCAAAATTTCCATTAAATTTATCTACTTATTTTGATAGCATATAAAGAAGTTCCATGCAGAGAGAAGTCAATATTTTGACAAATCTCCAAAAAAAGAATAGGATAAAATAAAATAGGCTGTGTTTTGTTATTAAAACTTAAAAAACCTTTAGTGGTTTATTGGTATCATTGAATTTATATTTGCTATGTTAAAATAAATTTTTGCCCAATACTATTTTAATTTTTGAAGCAAAGGATTGTGTATATTGCTTTCACTTTAACCTTGTATAATCTACATAATTGCCTTATTACTTCACTTTCACATGTCAACACAGCTTTTCAAGATTTATTATGTGCCACTATGATGAATAGATAGAAATAGCTCCTTTTAAAAGAGCCACGGGGACTATTGGCAGGAACAGAAAGGTAAACTAGTAATTGCAATTCAGAGGTTAAAAAGGAGAGCATAGTGATCTGAGAGAGGAAGGCAGGATCAATACTGGAGGGAGACATCAGGGAAACTTTGTAGTCATGGAGACCTACATGGTGGAAAAAGGGTCAAGAGAAGAGCAGGCAAGGTGAAGAGAAAGCAGTAATTCATAAAAGATTCATATGTTTGAGAATGGGAATTGTCTAGAATGCTGGAAACTATTTGTTTAGTGTTTATCTTCCCAGATAGATTTCAAGGTCTGTATTCTTTCTCATTCAACATAATATTTCTCTCTAGTATTAACATTGCCTGGCACTTTTAAGAAATCCAATGAGTGTGTTTATTGTTTGACTAATTAATTTTATTAAAGTAAATATATTTAATAATATTATATTAAGTTAATTTTGATAACTTCAAATTATTTTTTGATAGTTAAACAGTTATATTATGTAAAAGTCCTATAATATAATTATATATATACTAGAGGCCCAGTGCACAAAAATTTGTGCACTCGGGGGGAAAGAGGGAGTCCCTCAGCCCGGCCTGTGCCCTCTCGCAGTCTGGGACCCCTCGGAAGATAACAACCTGCTCTCTCAGGCCCGCTCCCTGGTGGGAGAGGGCAGGCCCAATCCCTAGGTGAAGCCCCTGGTCCGGCTCAGAGCAGGGCCGATTGGGGAGTTGGGGCGCCACCCCCTGTCATGCACGGAGCAGGGCGGATCGGGAGGTTGCGATGCCATCCTCAGTCACGCTCAGGGTAGGGCCGATTGGGGGGTTGGGGCACCGCCCCCTGTCACACTCAAGGCAGGGTCGATGGGCAGGTTGCGGCGCCACCCCCTGTCACGCACAGAGCAGGGCCCATCAGGGGGTTGGGGAGCTCCCCCCTGTCACACACAGAGCAGGACCGATCAGGGGGTTGGGGAGCTCCCCCCTGTCACTCACAGAGTAGGGCCGATAGGGGAGTTGGGGCACCGCCCCCTGTCACACACAGAGCAAGGTGGATCAGGGGGTTGGGGCGCCGCACCCTGTCACACTCAGGGCAGGGCCGATGGGGAGGTTATGGTTCTACCCCGTCACACACAGAGCAGGGCCCATGGGGGGCGGTTGGGGTGTCGCCCTCTATCACCCACAGAGCAGGGCCGATCAGGGGGTTGGGGCGCCACTACTGTCACACTCAGGGCAGGGCCGATGGGGAGGTTATGGCTCTACCCCGTCACACACAGAGCAGGGCCCGTGGGCGGCGGGGGGGTTGGGGCGCCGCACCCTGTCACACACAGAGCAGGGCTGATCAGGGGTTTGGGGCACCACAGCCTGTCACACACAGAGCCGCAGGGCAATCAGGGGGTTGGGGAGCTCCCCCCTATCAGGCACAGAGCAGGGCTGATCAGGGGGTTGGGGTGCCTTCTCCTGTCAAAAACAGAGCAGGGAGGATAGGGAGGTTGTGGCCCCACCCCGTCACACACAGAGCCGCAGGGCGATCAGGGGGTTTGGGCGCTGCCCCCTGTCACGCTGATCCCGGTGCTGGGAGGCATATTACCCTTTTACTATATAAGATAGTGGCCTGGTGCATGGGTAGGGGTGGCTGGTTTGCCCTGAAGGATGTCCCGGATCTGGGTGGGGGTTTCCACTGGGGTGCCTGGCCAGCCTGGGTGAGGGGATGATGGCTGTTTGCAGCTGGTCACACACCCTTCAGGGTGGGGGTCCCCACTGGGGTGCCTGGCCAGTCTGGGTGAGGGGCTGAGCGCTGTTTTCAGGCTGGCGGGTGACTGAAGCTCCCAACCGCTCCTTTTTTTCTTTTTTTTTTAATTCTGGGCCAGCTTTAGCTCTGAGGCTCCAGCTCTTAGGCCTCCACTGCTGAAAGCAGGTTTCTGGCCTTTGTTTACCTTCTGTATTTGAAACAATGTTGTGATCCTGCTGGCTGAAGCCCGGCGACTAAAGCAGGTTTCTGGGGTTTTGTTTAGCTTCTATATTTGTAACATAGTGGCTTAGAGTTGCAGCTCAGAGGCCTGCAGCGGCAGGCGGGGAATGTTGGAGTCCTCTGTCACTGAAGCAAGCAAACCTCATGTTAGTTTCAAGCTGCCTGGCTGCCGGCCGCCATCTTGGCTGGCAGTTAATTTGCATATCGCCCTGATTAGCCAATGGGAAGGGTAGAGGTCGTACGCTAATTACCATGTTTCTCTTTTATTAGATAGGGCAAACCAGCTGGCCCCCACCTGTGCACCAGGCTTCTATCCTATATAGTAAAAGGGTAATATGCCTCCCAGCACCAGGATCAGCGTGACAGGGGGCAGCGCCCAAACCCCCTGATCGCCCTGCGGCTCTGTGTGTGACAGGGGGTGGGGCCACAACCTCCCTATCCTCCCTGCTCTGTTTTTGACAGGAGAAGGCACCCCAACCCCCTGATCAGCCCTGCTCTGTGCCTGATAGGGGGGAGCTCCCCAACCCCCTGATTGCCCTGCGGCTCTGTGTGTGACAGGCTGCGGTGCCCCAACCCCCTGATCGGCC